CGTCCTCCCCGCTGGACGCCATTGCTTATAATAACGTTGCTGCACCAGCGGCCGGCGCGCAGCGGATGTCCCTTTCATCGGCTTCATTATGTCTTTGTGCTCGTCACACTTTTCCATCGGCGGCGGCGGAATTTCTCGATTGTCCGCACTTTCTTTCCGGAAAGGCGGCCCGCGGTGCGCAGCGCGTCGGAGGGTGGATTCATCAAAGGCCTCCTTTTTTTACCTTTTGGTAGAACGTGAATGCGCGGTCACGTGAATTCCGCTCGGGTCATATTTTATTCATCGCCGCGCTCCTCTCATCTCCCCGCGTTCTTTGTCTCGCTCGGTCGTCTTTGCGCTCTGGAGGGGAAGGCGATGCTGTGATGTGCGTTTGTAAGGCGGCCGCGTTACGTGCGCCGAGTGAAGTTTTTCGTCTTTTACTTATTAATGACCCAGAAAATAATTGATCTGCGGCGCGCGCGGCCTGGCAGAGGGACGGCAATGTTTACCAGCGCTGGAGCGGCACGCGCGAGGGGTTCCGGCGCTCCATTAGCTGATGAGAAGAGTTCAGATAATGCATCTTTAATGTCTCCTGCGTCGTTAGCAGACACTTAGCGGCTGATATCTGTCAGTTAATTGTTACACGGCGACGTCGGCGGATTGGTGAAAGACGTGAAACGCTTCTGAAGACTTCACTTCCATCATGGAGGATTCCACCGGAACAAAATGTTCTCCTTCACCAGTTCATCAATCCTGTCCGGGGTCTGCAGCGTGAACATACCATAATGGATTGATGATGATGGTGATGGCGGTGGTGATGATGATGGCGGTGGTGATGATGATGGTGATGGCGGTGGTGGTGATGATGATGGCGGTGGTGGTGGTGATGATGGTGGTCATGATAATCATGGTGATAATGATGGTGGTGGTGGTGATGATAATCATGGTGGTGATGAAGGTGGTGGTGATGATGATGGTGGTGGTGATAATGATGGTGGTGGTAATTGTGATGGTGATGGCGGTGGTGGTGGTGATGATGATGGTGGTCATGATAATCATGGTGATAATGATGGTGGTGGTGATGATAATCATGGTGGTGATGATGGTGGTGGTGATGATGATGGTGGTGGTGGTGATAATGATGGTGGTGGTGGTGGTGGTAATTGTGATGGTGATGGCGGTGATGATGATGGTGGTCATGATAATCATGGTGATAATGATGGTGGTGGTGATGATAATCATGGTGGTGATGATGGTGGTGGTGATGATGATGATGGTAGTGGTGATAATGATGGTGGTAATTGTGATGATGATGGTGGTGATGATAATGATGGTGGTGGTAATTATGGTGGTGGTGATAATGATGATGGTGGTGGTGATAATGATGATGGTGGTGGTGATAATGATGATGGGGATGATAACCATGGTGGTGATGATGGTGGCGCTGATGATGGTGATGATAATCATGGTGGTGATGATGGTGATGATCGCGGTGGTGGTGGTGATGATAATTATGGTGATGATGGTGGTGGTGATGATGATTGGTCTGTATGGAGGATGACTCGCTTCTGTCCTTGGAACTCCCATCAATGGGATGACTCGATGGAGACCTCAGACAGGTTATCACATGGTGAGGAGATAAGAGGAACCTAAACAACAGCCAAAACCTCTCCTAGAGATGGAACCCCCAGAGATCTGAGAGACCCGAAACCGACCTCGTCCTTAGAATCCATCTAATCAGTAATAACGGGCAAGACAAGCAACGTGCCTCCTACACAGGACTCCTCGGCACTCCCTTCTCACCATCACTGGGCAAACATTCCTATCAAAACACCAGGAACCCAGCTGTGATGGTGGTGATAATGATGATGATGGTGGTGGTTGTGCTGATGATAGTGGCAGTGATGATGATGAAGATGATGGTGGTAGTGGTGGTGATGATGATGATGGTAGTGGTGGTGATGACGACGGTGGTGGTGATGAAGATGATGGTTGTAGTGGTGATGGCGATGGTAGTGGTGGCGATGTTTATTATGATGGTGCTGATGATAGTGGCGGTGATGATGATGATGGTGGTGAAGATGATGGTGGTAGTGGTGATGATGATGATGATGGTAGTGGTGGTGATGACGACGGTGGTGGTGATGAAGATGATGGTTGTAGTGGTGATGGCGATGGTAGTGGTGGCGATGTTTATTATGATGGTGCTGATGATAGTGGCGGTGATGATGATGATGATGATGGTGGTGAAGATGATGGTGGTAGTGATGATGATGGTAGTGGTGGTGATGAAGATGATGGTTGTAGTGGTGATGGCGATGGTAGTGGTGGTGATGGTGATGTTTATTATGATGGCGCTGATGATAGTGGGGGTGCTGCTGATGACAATGGTGGTGGTGAAGATGATGGTTGTAGTGGTGATGGTGGTGGTGAGGAGGATGATGGCGGTGGTAGTTAAAAGTGAATCCAGAGTTAAGATACATAGCGATAACGCATACATAGCAATAGAACTATAATTCTGTTCAGCCGGTTTTGTGATTCAGAGACCGCTTCCAAGTCCTTGGCCTCCAAGAATCTTCTGTAGACTTCACTGCAGTGCAGTAATATTTCCTGGATTGTGAAGATTACACTCCCGGCCGCGCCATGCGCAGAGACTTTACAGCAATCCAAGACCAGCAGACTGAGATCGTCACTGGGGCAGGTATCTGAGCAGGTAACCCTTTACCTGGTTACCTGCCAGGTAACCAGGTAAAGGGTTACCTGGTTACCCTTTACCAGGTAATCAGGTAAAGGGTTACATTTACCTGGTAAGGGTAACCCAAGGTAAAGGCTTGCCACCTTTACCTGGTAAGGGTGGCAGGTAACCAGGCAGGTAACCTGTGTAGCTGCCACCACCACCACGTACTTTAATGGAACCACACACCAGTCACAGCATCTATTGCTGTAATTCTGACCTCTAAAGAAATGTTTGTGTCACTCGCTGCCACACCCACACAGGAAAGTAACAGAGTTTACACTACGGTAGCTTCCTCATAGAGGCAGCAGTTCTTCCATCTCTGATCAGATCGTTCAGAGATTCAGATTTTTAAATAACATATTACTGTAAAAAACAAGAAAAATGGTGAAAGGATAATACAAAATGAACCATCCACAACTCCGCCCCCGGCTATATCTCCAACCTTGTCTCAAAGTATCACCCTAACCGTCCCCTCCGCTCATCCCAAGACCTCCTGATTTCCAGCTCCCTTGTCAACTCCTCCCATGCTCGCCTCCAGGACTTCACTAGAGCCTCTCCCATCCTATGGAACTCTTTACCCCAACCTGTCCGTCTGTCACCCACTCTGACTGCCGTTAGACGATCCCTTAAGACTCATCTCTTCAGGGAAGCCGATCCCACCTCAACCTGATCGCTCAACCATTCATCCCCACACAGCTCCCTCCTCATGTATCTCTGGCCCCTCCCCTTTTAGAGTGTAAGCCCTCAAGGGCAGGGCCCTCCTTACCCTCTTGTCTTGAATTGTATTGTGATTGTAACGTCTTCCTTATATTGTACAGCGCTGCACAAACTGTTGGCGCTATATACATCCTGTATAATCATAATAATAACATAAGCAACCTATTTAAAACAGAGAAATGCTTAAGTACAATCCGCCGAGTGTTTGTATCAGTGCAGAGTATCGGCCTCATCTCATAGTGTAGAGTCGCCGGCCCTCAGAAACGTGACTCTCAGTATCCATGATCGTTTTTATGTCAAATGAGACCGATTGGAGCGGTATTAGTACCGCTGTCAGGTGTTTATTGCTGCCTGTGTCCCCCATTGCAGATTCCCAAACCCCCCCCCCCCCCCTTCTGGTCCTGGTGACCATTTATCATTGAGAGTAAAAGTGAATGAAAATCCCAAATTTCGAGGAGGAATAGATGGGAAATCTTCCAATGGGGACACTAGTTCTGATGACAACTGTCTAAGAAGGAATTTCCTTCTTGCTTCCTGTTGTGGCTATTGGACAGGAAGTGAAAGGAAATCTCTGATAAGGTACACAGATGGCAAAAAAAGCTGACAGGGGTTATAACCCTCCGTTTTTCCACCCAAAATAAAAAAGTTAGTGTTTTTTTGTGGGTGAAATGCGGCAGCAGAAGCAGTCCCAGGTAGGGACTCTTTGTCCATTTGTCTTGATCAATAAAGTTGTCAGCATTTGAAACTTAAGGATGTGCCGTCAGCTTTTTCTCTTGGTCCTGATTTTGGTTGCTGGAGATGATTGGGTCTTCTGATACCTGCCGGCGGCCATCTTGGTGATGGACGCCGGCAGAGAGAGGAGGGGACAGTGACCTGGCTGTATAAGGTATGCCGCCGGGTCCCCTCCTCTCTCCTGATAAAGTCGGGCGTTCGGTTCATGACCCAGCGCCCGACTTTTCAGAGGGGGGTGACACCAAAATGACTTTCAGTCATTTTGGTGTCACCCCTCCAATGGTGTCACCCCGGGTGCGGGCCGCACCCCCCCTTGTGACGCCACTGGGAACTATTACAAGAAAACGGCGGTTTGGAGCTGACCGATGAGCGCAGACGCCTCCGCTATGGCACGGGAAGAAGCCTCCCAATAACGCCCTCCACAGAAACAATCAAGTAGATCATTGATCTCTTCTTTTGTCCCAGTCACCAGAGGCTGTAAAAGTGATGTAAAGGCGCCGGGCTTGGCGGCTAGCCGCGGCGCTCGTTTATTCTGCGTGTCCCCGCTATAAGCGCCGCGTTCTCGCGTGGATTCGCATACCGCGCTCTATAAGAGCAATGCTTCCAGCTGCGGTTTAATATAATCCTTCCCAACACGCACGGCTTCCACTTACAGGAGAGCGCCATGAATTATAGATGAATTTACGGGTTTAATAATGGCGCATTGTGTGCAGATCCGAGAACTAATGAGCGGAGCCGTGCAAAGTGCAGCAGCGAAGAAACGATACCGACGCGCCGAGGCAAGGAGCCGAGATTTCTCCCCGCTTGATGAATAGGCCCCAAAATTAGAACTTTCATGGGAGAGAAGTTCACAATTTACCTCATTGAACACAACGCAGTGGAAGTGTTAAAGGAGACGGAGAAGAACACGGCGCCCGCCACCGATGTGGACGGTGACAATTGCGGGGTTCCTTTACATCGGAGGTCAGCACAAAGATTCCGCCTTACATCAGGGGAACACTTTCCCTTTACATTGGGGGTCAGGGAGGAGCTTCAGGCTACAGGTTTGGGGTCGTCCGTGAGTTCAACCCAAACCCAAGCTGGGTCACAGTTTACCAAATTGACCAGTTCACCCGCCCACTGAACATTCACCTATGTCCTAGCAACCAATGACACTATGCAGCCCACCTGCTCCCATCCTAATAACTAATGACGCTGAGCAGGTTGCCTCCTTACATTGGTGGTCAGTGGGTGAGGTGCGCCCCTTACATTGGTGGTCAGTTGGAGAGGCGCCCCCCTTACATTGGTGGTCAGTTGGAGAGGTGCACCCCTTACATTGGTGGTCAGTTGGAGAGGCGCCCCCCTAACACTGGTGGTCAGTTGGAGAGGTGCACCCCTTATATTGGTGGTCAGTTGGAGGGGTGTCCCCCTTACATTGGTGGTCAGTGGGTGAGGCGCGTCCCTTACATTGGTGGTCATTTGGAGAGGTGCCCCCCTTACATTGGTGGTCATTTGGAGAGGTGCCCCCCTTACACTGGTGGTCAGATGGAGAGGTGCCCCCCTTACACTGGTGGTCAGTTGGAGGGGTGTCCCCCTTACACTGGTGGTCAGATGGAGAGGTGCCCCCCTTACATTGGTGGTCAGTTGGAGGGGTGTCCCCCTTACATTGGTGGTCAGTAACGAAGTGACCCACAAAGCAAGCTAAATGTCATCCAGCTGGAGATAACATCTACTTAAGTGAGGAATCCCGATCTAAACGTTCGCTCTGGGTCAGTGACTAAGTATTGAAGCCAGGGGATCAGCATGACGTCTCTGAAGCGGCAATGGCAGCTATGGTCCTCAGTCCAGGTTTCTGAGGTGACATCACAAAGCTTTCCGATCACTTCCTTCGGAGAATTTATTGATTTGGCACAAAACGACATTCTATCCCCCTGTAAGCTCTGCAGAGGGTTGCGACGTGCCGTGATATCGGTGAGAGGAGATAAACACCCGAAAAGGGTTAAATATCACTGAGGATGCCGCACCTGACATGAAGAGCTCTGATGACAGGTCCACTTTAAAATCCCGAGCGGGAATTGGCGCTGCGGCCATTGCGTGGATCTCGTTCCCGCCTCTCCAAGCTGTTTCTTTGTTACAATGTATTTCTTTCCTCTGCGTTTCTATTGGTTGAGCTCGATGGACTTGTATCTTTCCCCCGGCTCTATACAATGTAGCAAAGCTGCTCCTGTGAGGACGTCGGCGGCATTTTCGGGCCGCGCTCTTCCCGTAATAAGTTTAGACGCGATCGGAAATTTGCAAGTCTAATATGACAATTAGCTGCGCGGTTACCAGGCTGGAGCGACGAGATATATCGAGGCCCCGAGGCGAAAGTCATGGAAGCCACCGGATCTTATAGTCCTCGCTGACAACCAGAAGTGGGGTCACCTGTCTTCAATGATACCAATTCCTCCCGGGCGCCGCGCGGCGTGTCGCTAATAGGGGCCGCCGCGTGACTCGGATCGGTGTCACGCAATTTCCCAATTTATAAATAATCGCATTACACTTCCCTCCGACGTCTCAATTAGAATCGCAGCTCGAGGGGGCAATAAGGGAAAGCGGCCGGCGGATTCTTCCCGGGAACGCGGCGCAAACTACGGGGCCCCATTCACTAAACGCGTCCACTGCAGGCGGACTGACACCCCCAGAATCATTCACACAGAGGGGTCACCTCACGGCTAGTTTGTCACCGAAAGGGCAATGATTACAAAGGAGTGAAAGTGACATGTACCAGATATTCACCGCAGGTGAAGCAATCACTTTAAAACTCATTGACCAGAAAGATACACCTGCAGTGAATGTTTGGTGAATGTGATATTCACTCACTGCTTTGCTCTAATACCACAAACTACTGGGCGGAAATCTCACCATTGTGGGAGGGGCCGAGACACACACTACTGGGGGGGGGGATCTCATAATTGTGGGAGGGGCAGAGACACAAACTACTGGAAGGAAATCTCACCATTGTGGGAGGGGCAGAGACACAAACTACTGGAAGGAAATCTCACCATTGTGGGAGGGGCAGAGACACAAACTACTGGAAGGAAATCTCACCATTGTGGGAGGGGCAGAGACACAAACTACTGGAAGGAAATCTCACCATTGTGGGAGGGGCAGAGACACAAACTACTGGAAGGAAATCTCACCATTGTGGGAGGGGCAGAGACACAAACTACTGGAAGGAAATCTCACCATTGTGGGAGGGGCAGAGACACAAACTACTGGAAGGAAATCTCACCATTGTGGGAGGGGCAGAGACACAAACTACTGGAAGGAAATCTCACCATTGTGGGAGGGGCAGAGACACAAACTACTGGAAGGAAATCTCACCATTGTGGGAGGGGCAGAGACACAAACTACTGGAAGGAAATCTCACCATTGTGGGAGGGGCAGAGACACAAACTACTGGAAGGAAATCTCACCATTGTGGGAGGGGCAGAGACACAAACTACTGGAAGGAAATCTCACCATTGTGGGAGGGGCAGAGACACAAACTACTGGAAGGAAATCTCACCATTGTGGGAGGGGCAGAGACACAAACTACTGGAGGAAATCTCACCATTGTGGGAGGGGCCGAGACACACACTACTGGGGGGGGGGATCTCATAATTGTGGGAGGGGCAGAGACACAAACTACTGGGGTAAATCGCACTATTGTGGGCGGGGCAGAGACACAAACAACTGGGAGGAGATCTCACCATTGTGGGAGGGGCAGAGACACAAACTACTGGGAGGAGATCTCACCATTGTGGGAGGGGCAGAGACACAAACTACTGGAAGGAAATCCCACCATTGTGGGAGGGGCAGAGACACAAACTACTGGGGGAAATCTCACCATTGTGGGAGGGGCAGAGGCACAAACTACTGGCGGAAATCTCACCATTGTGGGAGGGGCAGAGACACAAACTACTGGAGGAAAACTCACCATTGGGCGAGGGGCAGAGACACAAACTACTGGAGGAAATCTCACCATTGTGGGAGGGGCAGAGACACAACCTACTGGAGGAAATCTCACCATTGTGGGCGGGGCAGAGACACAAACAACTGGGAGGAGATCTCACCATTGTGGGAGGGGCAGAGACACAACCTACTGGAGGAAATCTCACCATTGTGGGAGGGGCAGAGACACAAACTACTGGAGGAAATCTCACCATTGTGGGAGAGGCAGAGATACAAACTACTGGCGGAAATCTCACCATTGTGGGAATGGTGACCTTGATTTACTAAAGTGTTAGGCGCTGTAGTCACCCAGTCATATGCAAAGGAGTTTGTAGTGCCTTGTGCATGGCTGTGCGTTTTAGGTGCAGACAGGTTCTCTTTCCTACACTTCACCTCAATTCACTCTTTGGTAAATCAGGGCAGACGCGTATAATAAATGGCTGGGATGAGCGGGGGGAGGAGGCGTCAGTGTACAGGACCACCACTGACAGATGTCTCCGGGTCTGGTGATTGACAGATTGATGCCAAGCTCCGGTGCTGCAATTCAGCAATCTGTAACACTTGTATTTCCGGCAGCAGATGGATCGGCTCCGAGCCGCGTCACGATGATTTCTTACAGCTCCATAATGTATTCCAGGAACAGAGAGCCGCGGGCCGCACGCTGCCTCTGCCCGTGCCTGACTCTCCGCCATTACCTGTGACCTGAATTCAGCTTGTCAGTCGCAGTCCCGGAGGAACTCCGCGCTGGAAAATTCTACACAAACACAGCGATGTCACCATCTGCCCAGGACGACTCCGCAGCTCCCTCATTGGGGACCGAATCCTCCGTCCCATCCCCCCCCCCTCAGTTGTCCCTCTTTTTGCTCTAATGGAAAAAACACGAAATGCAACATTACAAATCTCCACAAATAAACTCCAACATACAACAGGGAAGATCCGCCTTTCATCATTAGACGTTCTTGTTCTTCAGTCAGTGACTTTGCCCAGGCTGAGATGATGTCATCAGTCTGCTGCAGGCAGGAGGAAGCATTTCCTCTCCCCTCCCCCGGTCTCCGACCAACCTGTACTATGTCCCCAGTCTCCAACCAACCTGTAGTATGTCCCCAGTCTCCAACCAACTTGCAGTATGTCCGCAGTCTCCAACCAACTTGCAGTATGTCCCCTGTCTACAACTAACATGTAGTATGTCCCCAGTCTCCAACCAACCTGCAGTATGTCTCCAGTCTCCAACCAACCTGTAGTATGTCCCCAGTCTCCACCCAACCTGTAGTATGTCCCCAGTCTCCAACCAACTTGCAGTATGTCCGCAGTCTCCAACCAACTTGCAGTATGTCCGCAGTCTCCAACCAACTTGCAGTATGTCCGCAGTCTCCAACCAACTTGCAGTATGTCCGCAGTCTCCAACCAACTTGCAGTATGTCCGCAGTCTCCAACCAACTTGCAGTATGTCCGCAGTCTCCAACCAACTTGCAGTATGTCCGCAGTCTCCAACCAACTTGCAGTATGTCCGCAGTCTCCAACCAACTTGCAGTATGTCCGCAGTCTCCAACCAACTTGCAGTATGTCCGCAGTCTCCAACCAACTTGCAGTATGTCCGCAGTCTCCAACCAACTTGCAGTATGTCCGCAGTCTCCAACCAACTTGCAGTATGTCCGCAGTCTCCAACCAACTTGCAGTATGTCCGCAGTCTCCAACCAACTTGCAGTATGTCCGCAGTCTCCAACCAACTTGCAGTATGTCCGCAGTCTCCAACCAACTTGCAGTATGTCCGCAGTCTCCAACCAACTTGCAGTATGTCCGCAGTCTCCAACCAACTTGCAGTATGTCCGCAGTCTCCAACCAACTTGCAGTATGTCCGCAGTCTCCAACCAACTTGCAGTATGTCCGCAGTCTCCAACCAACTTGCAGTATGTCCGCAGTCTCCAACCAACTTGCAGTATGTCCGCAGTCTCCAACCAACTTGCAGTATGTCCGCAGTCTCCAACCAACTTGCAGTATGTCCGCAGTCT